TTTTTTTATATATTTATAATAAATATAACTGTACGACTGTTGTTTGTTTTTAATTTAAATTTTTTTGGAAATCACCTGCTTAAATTTTATCAAGGCTGAAAGTCTGGAGGAGTGGATGACAGGTGGATGATGACATAGGAGGTTATACATCTGAGCTAATTGGAAAATCTAAACTCTGACCTCAGGACAGTGTTTGAACTGATTTGTGTAATTTGGTAATATACAGAATCACATCATGAGTATACAGTGATATTTTCCCTTCTTTTTGGACCTTTTTTCGGAACACTTTAATACAATTATCTGACCAATAATATGTCTGCTGCATGGTTACTTGCACTCATAAATCACTCAAGAAGTCTGTGCTCCTGTTTTGCTGAAGGAAGTCTAGGATTTTATTTACACACCGATTAACAGTTATCTGTGTCTGTGTAATGGTCCCATTAGTCATGTGATGCTCCCATGGCCAGAGCATGATAATGAAGTTAGCTTTGAGTAACTGATAACTTAGTTATCCTCTCTCATAAAGATATGGTCACTTCTGACTAGAAGACTAGAAGACTAAAACTAAATGACAGTGACCAGAATGCTAATGCCGAAGCTCCAAAACTCAATAGGAAATCAAGTTGGCTGCTATGTGAAAGGCATCAGGTACCTCATCATTGCGGTCTCTCTCCAAGAAGTGCTGGGCAACATGTGCGGGCAGGATATTGAGCAGCAGACACTCATTGTGCTCCCGCTGCTCCTTCATGTCCTCCACCTCCTTCTTTGCCTGAAGGCCCCAGAGGAAGTCCAGCCGTGCTGTCGCCTCCAGCTACCAGTGAAGAAATGGAAGAGGGAAGTGGTGGATATTAGCATACTGAATTCATATCAGGGTTATCATTGTTTGCTTGATAGCAATAAAAGCTGGTAGCGTGTTTAACAGAATCCACCTGTCTGCTGTTGAAGAGGACAACCACCACAAACATCAGCATAAGAACAACACAGACTCCATTCCTGCACAAGTGATGAGACCTGACAACAACAGAGGAGACCACATTTTATTTTCCACACCTTTAAGCAAAAACACAGGAACATGACCTGAATGGAACTTGTACCTGTAATTCTTGATTATGTAGGTGTAGAGGGCAGCAAACAGCAGTAGAACGGCCAGCTGCAACACGCAGCTCAGTCTGAGGAACACGGCACAGGTAACCATAGCAACCACGCCACTTAGAACCATGTACTGTACACAGAAAGGCCAGTGATAATTTTAAAAATGGTTACTGACTAATTAATGTCATCATGATTCTGAGCTCATGTGATGTTTGAGTGTTCACCTCTGGATATGTGCAAATGTTGATATCGGTCCAAGCCGAGGGAGGCGGAGCCAGCAGGGAGTCCGTGTTGCTGATGTCAGTTTCTGATGAATCACACCACAGCTAGTGGAAGCAAGCAAGAAGCTTTCTAACAAGTTATTTTGTACTAAATTCTTTGTACTAAAGCCTTTCAGTAAGTTGCTGGAAGAAGCTATTATTCCCACTGAGGTTTTTAAAAATGTTTAACATAGAAGGTTGGTTGTCAGTATATGGGAAATCGTAATAGACAATAAGATGTGCACGTTTTTGCAGGTGAATCATTACTTTTTGGCACAAAATAGCAAGAAACTAAACTAAAAAACAAGCAATGCAAAAAATGGAGGGACTTCTTGAAATGCTTCAAACAAACATTCCCATTGTTGTAAGAAAATTTTTAATTTTATCTTATGTTGCTGTTAACACTGTTCCAGTGCAACTAAAGAATGTGTAAATGCACATTTTTAGTTGTTGAAACGACAATACTGTCAAAGTGATGGTAATTTCACATTTCGTTTACAG